TATATGTGAACTGCTGTATGGAAGGTGAATTTGCTCTGTAAATCTTCACCCAAATCACAATAAAAAAAAAAAAAATGCCATTTATCATAGCCACTCAAAAGATGAAATATTTATGAATAAACTTAACTACAGACACAAAGGCTTATACAAAGAAAACTGCAAAACACTAGTACAAGAAACCAAAAGAGCCCTACTTAAATAGAAAAACATATCATTACATGTATAGGAAGACTTAACATTGTGAAAATGTCAATACTACCCAAAGCAATCTACAGATATAATGCAATCCTGATCTAGATTCCATTATCATTCTTTAAAGAGATGGAAAAATTAATCACCAACTTTATATGGAAAGGAAAGAGACTCTGGATAAGTAAAAACTACTGAAGAAGAAGAACAAAGTAAGAGGCCTCATACTTTATGATCTTAGAACCTACTATAAACTATAGCAGTCAAAACAGCCTGGTATTGGTACAACAACAGACACAAAGACCAATGGAACAGAATTGAGAAACCAGAAGTAAATCTATCCACCTATGGACAGCTGATCTTTGACAAAGGGCTAAAATCCTTTAAATGAGGAAAAGAAACCCAAAACTAGATATCTGCCTGAAAAAAAGTGAAATGATCCACACCTCACCCTAGACACAAAAACTAACTCAATTTGGATCAAAAAACCCAAATCTACAAAGATCATTAAAGAAAAAGTAAGGGCAAACTTAGAGGCTCTACTCTATGGCATAAATAGACTATCAAACATAATTAAAAATACACAAACAGAAGAAGAAAAGCTAGATTACTGAGAATGCCTACAAATTAAACACTTATGTGTATCAAAAGAATTCTCCAAAAAGAGGAAAAAGAGAACCTACAAACTGGGGGAAAATATTGGCAATGACATTAGACAAGGGCCTAATCTCTAAAATTTATAGACACCTCAACAACAAAAAGACAAACAATCCAATTAAAAAATGGGCAGAGGACGTGAACAGGCACTTCACCAAGGACATACAGGCAGCCAACCAACCCATGTGATCATTTACCATCAGAGAGATTCAGTCAAAACAACACGAGATAGAATCTTATCTCGGCAATAATAGCCAAGTTCAAAACGAAAAACAAACACGGAGATGGGGAAGATGGCATTGTATCTGTAGCCCATACTTTTGTTCCCTCTAGGATCTTAATGTCTGAAAAACTAGGTGCAGCTGATTGAAGCAGGGATTCTGGGGCTGTCAACAGCTAATTAAGTTAGAGAAGGCTAGATTTAGTGGAGGAGAAAAAAAGAAAGAAGCAGGGCAAACAGCCTGGAAAATAAAAATAAATGAACCTGCCCGGTGGCAGGTGAGACAGAGAAATGGGAAACTGTTTAAATAATACTGGAGAAAACCACAGAGGAAATAAGAAAGGAGGCACACCAGGGAGCCAACGGCATCTTCAGGGGCTTGGACTACCCACAACAGAAGCTTCTGATGGTAACCTTGGAAACTAAGCTGAGTTGTTGTTGTTGTTGTTGTTGTTATGTGCCATCGAGTCGGACCCGACTCATAGGTAACCTTGGAAACTGAGCTGAGTAAATGGACAACATTTCTGAGAAACAGAGCAGAAACTCCTCTGGCTCAGGTTGCCGCTGAGCTGGGAGCAGAAAGGCAGAAAGGAGGAAATACATCACAGGTAGGCAGGCCCTGGGATGTGCTCACAGTGCAAGTCTGGGATCCAGCTCTTCCAGGACAGATTTTTAGCATACAGGGGTCCAGAGTACAGGGTTTTTGCAGCTATCCAACCCAAGTGGAAAGTAGCAGCCCCCTAGCCATTGGGGTCTTTGCTGATTTTGAACTACGGGTCTGTGACTGACAAAGAAACCTCATCATTGGTAGCCATCCCAAGCAGACTCAAAACAAAACCCTGAAACCAGTGGTAACCATGGAAATGTGGAAAGGGGGGACTTGCTACTGGCGCCTTGGTTTTTTTTTTTTTTTTTTTTTTCTTTTCTTCCTCTTTTTTCCCCTTCTCCCCTGCCTCACCCAGTAGAAGAACCACATTAAGCCATCACAATACCTGCTCACCCCAACTCTAAATTCCCTTCACAATGAACAGAGACCTGCATCCACATTCCCCACACTGATTCCATCAACACAAAGAAAACTGCAGAGCAACCCAGCACACCTGATTTAATAGCCAAAAGAATAAATTACACCAGCTCCATCTTGCAAAAATATTAAATCATAAAATCAAGGTGAAACAAATCAATACATAACTAATAGTTAAAGACAACAACTTCAAAATATCTAGGAAAAACAGGCAACCTCAAATCAAACAAACTAACAAAAAAAAAAAAAAACAGGATAAGACAATAAAAATAAAATCCCAAACAAAAATTCATTAAACATGGAGGAAGAGAAGGCAATAGAATTATCCGAGAAGGTATTTAGAAGATACGTTTACAGAAATCTACAAGAGCTTAAGGAAACCTCAAACAGAACCAAGGAGAACACAGACAGTACCCTGGAAGAACTCAGGAAAAACATTCAAGAACAAAATAACAAGATTAATACATAATCAGAACTTATACAAAAACAGCAGTTAGAAATCCAGAAGATGAACACTAAAATTACAGAATTACACAACACAGTGGAAGCACAGAAGAATAGGCTAGAATTGGCTGAAGAACTCATTTCCCAACTAGAAGATAATATCCATACACCTACAAAGAAGACCAGTTAATACGACTATTATTCAAAATTATGCATCAACTACTAATACCAAAGATAAAGAAATTGAAGATTTTTACTAACTTCTGCAGTCTGAAATTGATTAAATCGGCAATCAAAATGCATTGATATTACTAGTAATTGGAATGTGAAAGTTGGAGACAAAGAAGGATCAGAGGATGGAAAACATGGTGTTGGTGATAGAAATGATGTCAGAGATCACATAATAGCCTTCTGCAAAACCAACAATTTATTCATGGGAAATACCTTTTCACAATAACATAATGCCTTCTATACACATGGAATTTCTGGATGGAATACACAGAAATCAAATCTAGTACATCTGTTAAAAGAAACAATTGGAGAAACTCAATATCATTAATCAGAACAAGGCCAGGGACCAATGGTGGAACAGATAATTGACTGCTTATATGCAAATTCAAGATGAAGCTGAAGAAAATTAAAACAAGTCCATGAAAGCTAAAATATGACCTTAAGTATATCCCACCTAAATTTAGAGACCATCTGAAGACTAGGTTTGGCCCATTGAACACAAATTACTGAAGTTAAACAAATTGTGGGATTACATCAAGAACACCATATGTGAAAAAAGCTTTTGCCTTTAAAAGACCAGAAAGGATAAAAACAGCAAAGAGGATGTCAGACTTGACTCTGAAATTTTCTCTTGAACTTAAAGTAGCAAAAGTGAATGTAAGAAATGTTGAAGTAAAAAACCAGAGCACCTGTATGAAGAAAAATAAGAACAAGGATTTAAGAGAAATGAAGAGAACCTAAGAGTTGTATGGTGTGACATGAAAAGAAACAACACACACCTCATTGGAATACCAGAACAAGAAGAGGTGAATTGTGCTTTTGTTGGATGGATACTCTGTATACGTCTATGAGGTTGGGTTGGTTGATTGTGTTGTTGAGTTCTTCTGTATCTTTGTTGAGTTTTTTTCCTAGTTGATCTGTCCCTCCTTGAAAGTGGTGTATTAAAGTCTCCCACTACTATTGTATAGTTGCCTATTTTCCCTTTCAATTCAGTTAATATTCATGTATTTTGGAATACTTTCATTGGGTGCATAGATATTTATTATGGTAAAGTCTTCTTGGTCAATAAATTCAAAAACAATGAAATAATAAAGCATCTTCTCAGACCCCATATCATGAAGGAAGAAAAGATATTTATCCAAGAGAAAGTCACCAAAACATATCATAATCAAAACTCTCCAAAACCAAATAATTCTATATCCAGCCAAATTGTCCATCAAATATGAGGGTGAAATCAAGACATTCTTAGACAAATAAAAATTAAGGGATTTTTATGAAAACTAGAACAACCCTACAAACCTTCTTCCCTGCATGGTTTCTGCTGAGTAATCAGAACTGATTCTAATTGCTCATCCATTATAAGTGACATTTCTTTTTTCCTGAGCTGCATAACATCAACACTGAAACCAAATCAGAAATAGATGCTCAAAATAAGCCTGTAAAACATTGTACACAATAAAACAAGGGGGTCAATAGAGAATCCACAACAGAGAACAACAAATTAAAATCAGGTGGCTCAAAAAGACAAAGTAAAGTATTATATTGAAAGGTACAAAGACTTAGAGTTAGAAAACCAGAAGAACGCACTCTGCATTTTTCAAGCTGAAACTAAGATACGACTATTGGTCTCCACTCATCTGGAGCCAAAGAGAAAGAAAAAAACCTAAAGAACCAAATGAGAAACTAGTCTACAGGACAAATAGTCTTCCTGTAACACAGCCTCAGGTACCCTAGAACAGAAGAACTAGATGATGGTCAGCTATCACTATGACTGTTTTCATTAGGGCCACAATAGATAGAACCTGATAGAATGGGAGAAAAATGTGGAACAGAATCTCAATTCCTAAAAACAAAAAACTAGACTTACAGAATTTGTTGAGATGGGAGGTACACTCCAAGATTATTGCCCTGAGATATTCCTTAAACCTTGAACTGAGATTATCCATGAGGTCACCTTTTAGCTAAATAACAGATTGGCTCAAAAATAATGAACATTACCCATAAGTAGTGTGCTTCTTTTAAAAATCCCCTATATGAAACCAAAGGAGCTCAGGTAGCACAGTGCCTAAGGGATATGACCACTAACCAGTGGGCTGGTGTTCAAACCTACCAGCCACTCCAAGAAGCAACACTGGGCAAACTCCTTCCATAAAAATTTACTGTCGTGCTGGCTTCGGCAGCACATATACTAAAATTGGAACGATACAGAGAAGATTAGCATGACCCCTGCTCAAGGATGACACGCAAATTCGTGAAGAGTTCCATATTTTTGAAGTGAGCCAAAAATTAAGTGAGATCCAAGCAACAACACTGACTGAAGAGAGGGTTCCATTGGAGCCAAGTGCTGGATCCCCACTGTATATGAAAGGGTCACTAAGTCAGGGATTCCAATTTCCTGACACCGAGATCTGCAAGATGTTCCAAAGGGGTTCAGCTTTTATCTTGCATATGAATTTTTTGATGTTCTTCCTATACATAAGTTTCAGAAAACACCGAAAGGATGGCGAGAAGTGTTCATTGATATCGATCCGCAAGTTTCTAATAAACTGAGGTTTGTTTTGGCGCCTTGTGCCACCTCAGCAGAAGCCTTCCTACAAAGTGATGAAACACGGGATATGTGGAAGTGTGTCCTGATGCTGGTGTTGTTATTCAGGAACTTTCTCAACACATTGCACTAACTGGAGGTGCTGCAGTGATTGCCGATTATGGTCACGATGGAACGAAGACAGATACCTTCAGAGGCTTCTGTGGTCACAAGCTCCATGATGTCTTAGTTGCTCCAGGAACAGCAGACCTAACAACTGATGTGGACTTCAGTTACTTCCGCAGAATGGCACAGGGAAAAGTGGCCTCTCTGGGTCCAATAAAACAGCAAATGTTTTTAAAAAACATGGGTATTGATCTCCGGCTGAAGGTTCTTTTAGATAATTCACCTGAGCCATCTGTAAGACAGCAGTTACTTCAGGGATATGATACGTTCATGAACCCTAAGAAGATGGGAGAAAGATTTAACTTTTTTGCCTTGGTACCTCATCAGAGACTTCCTGATGGAAGCCATCAGATGAATGCATGTGAATCAAAATCCTCTCCAGCACCTGTAACTGGGTTTGACGAACTTGTTTGGCGGTGACATTTCACTCTGGACTTTTTACCCATCTGCTTAAGAAATCAAAAGAAAGGGAACACATTTCATACATTGCAGGTCTGCACTCATTGGAAGTTGGAATCCAACTGTGGCATCACAGAGGTGTCAGTGGAAACATAAGCAGCAACAAACTTGAGCTCTGAGAAGACATACTTTTAAGCTCAGAACTTAAGACCAGCAGTTCCCAGTGCTAGTTTTGCAACATCAATTGTCCCAAATTATCTTAAAGGGTGTTACAACATTACCAAAAGGTGACAACTTAATTTTTATTTGTAGACTTGCAACTCCAAAAAGTTAACAATAATTGTTTTGGAGTTTTGGTCAATCTGGTGGTGGTGGATTTTTTTTGGGGGGGTGGGGGTATTAAAAAGCCCAGCCCTCCCTTTTCTATGCATCTGAGAAAATCTCTTCAATGCCTTTGTGAACAATTAAACAAATGTTTGAAGTCCTTAAAAAAAAAAATTTACTGTCTCAGAAACCGAGTTGGGGGTCACTATGGGTTGGAATCAACTCCATGACAATGGGTTTGATTTTTTCATATAAGACCAAACAGTAAACAGTTACTTCAAAATAAAGATGAGAAGAAGCAGGGAAACTAGATTAATGGAAACAGAACAACCACAATGGAAAAAATGAGAATGTGAAGAATACAACAAATGTCACCTAACAATTTGTATAGAAATTTTTGAATGGGAACCTAAACTGCTATGTAAATCTTCAACAAAAACACAGTGAAGTATTATTTTTTAAAAAAAAGAGAATGCATTAAGTAAGGAAACAACTATAGAATTTGAAAACCTGGTTCTTCTTAAAGTATAACCTTGGAAAAGACTCTGGCATCTATAGTAATTTTAATATAAAAAAGTAACAATTATAATTTTTAAATAAATAAAAAGTGTAGACAAAGATGTGAACTAATAGGAATGCTCATACATCAATATATAGATAGATAGATGGATAGATAGATATCTACATGTATGAACATTCCAATGTCATTGGCATGATCATATCTACCACTCTTTCACATACCAACTGTTCATACATGGTGGACAGATTTCAGCACAACTTCCAGACTAAGACAGACTAGAAGACTGGTGATCTACTTTGGGAAATTAACCAATGAAAATTCTATGGATCACAACAGAATATTGTCTGACATAGTGCTGGAAAATAAGTCTCCTAGGTTGGAAGGTACTCAAAAATACACAGTGGATGCAATAATGGACTGGAGCATATTGACAATCATGAAGATGGTACAGGACTAGGCAACATTTTGCTCTGTTGTACATGGGGTCACCATGAGGTTGATGGAATTAACAACAACATACCTATGTAATGGATAAACAACCTCAGTAAAACAATGTAGCATGTTCATGTAACAACATGGATAAACTGCAAAACCACAATGCTATGTGAAAGAAGTCCAGTGCAAAAGACAGCATACTGTATGATTCTATTGATATGAAACCTCCAGGAAAGGCAAAGCTTTAGAAACAGATCAGTGGTTTCCTGGGGCTGGGAGTGAAAGTAGGGATTGCCTGCAAACAGGCATGAAGAATCTTTGGGGCTAATAACTGTATAAATGTATTAAAAATATTTGAATTGCACATTTAAGATAGATGAATATTATGGTATGTAAACCATACCTCAATAAAGCTTTTGAAAGAAGAAAAAAAAGTAAACAAATGAAGGATGGATTATTCAACAAATAATGTTGAGCATGTAGGCAAAATATTTAGGGGAAAGAAATCAATTTAAATTCTGACTTCACTGAAGACTCCAAAATACTAAACCATAAAAACTATTAGATGAAAAAAGTTGTTAATATGTAACTAGTTCCCACTACTTTGCTAGGGAAAGTTTCTTCTAGTGCAAAAACAATGGAAAGGAAAAACATGAAGGAAAAGATATGCTGATATTGTGAAAAATGTTTAGGTTTAGGCATATAAAAAATATCAAATCAAGTTAGAAGATAAAGCACAAACCAAATATATTTTTGCTACAAATGTGACAAGGTCCATGTTTTGGTTACCTAGTCTTGCTCTGATAGGAATATGCCCCAAATGGTATGGCATTAACAAAAAGGAGTTTATTCTTACAATTCAGAGTCTTTAAGTCCAAGTTCATAGTGCCAGGCTCTAGGGGCTGGGTGAAAGCCCCTCAACCTTGGGCTTCAGCTCTGGCTCCTGATCCTGGCCCATTGAAGCTGGAGGCTTTTCTTCACTTAGCTGCCAGCTGCTGAAGCTGACAAACCCAAGGTCAACAAGCAATAAGGCACAATCCCGACCAAACCACATGGCAGGCCAGTAATTCAAGTCTGTTAAAAGTCCCAAGATAAGCAGAGCATGGCAAGCTGCTGAACAACAACTCAACTACATGCAGGGCTCAAGCGTGTCATACACTAGAAACCATTCCCCAAGGATTCTCCTTATATACAGGAAGCAGACCACATCCCTAGGGCAGCTACTCAGCTGCTCCCAGTAGATTCCACCGTGGAGTTGATTACCAGTCTCATCATGGGGAATACTACATCCAGCTGCCCAGCCACTCAACCAGGCCCAGCCAAGTTGACATACAAACTTAACTATCACAGTCCATTTCTTTAATGTTTAAATAGCTTATAGAAACCAATGAGAAAAATAATAACACTGGCAACTCCCAAAAGAAACTACCTCAATGTAAACCAACATAAGCCAAGAAAATAAGCTAAATTTTTCATTCTAGTGTCTCCTGTTTCTTTTGTGGTCTTTTACGGTCTTCTACAGCTTATTCAGAAGGAAGATTGGGCAATCTACTTCCTTAGAGATACCGCCTTAGAAATCCAAGGAGGGGTCGCTATGAGTAGTATCTGACTCTATGGCAGTGAGTGAGTTTACAGCTTATTCAGAGACAGGTTTCAAACACAAACACTTGTTCCAAACCAGTTTTAGAGGAATATGATGTTGGTGGTCATTTAGGAGCTTTGGGTCCATCAGATGCTGATATTTGGAAACAGCTGAGGGCAACACTCAAGCTCTGAATCAGCTAGCAGGAGCAGCCACCTCCTTTGCCCACATACCACCTCCTTCTGGGAATTAAGAGTTCTATCCCAACTAATAGGAGCTCTGGTAGCCTAGTGCCTAAGGCATTTGACTGCTAACCAGAAGGCTGGAGGCTCAAACCCACCAGCCACTCCTCAGAAGGAAGATGGGGCAATCTACTTCCATAGTGATACTGCCTCGGAAACCCAAGGAGGGGTCACTATGAGTCAGGTCCAACTCGACGGCACATAACAACAACATCTCAACTAATATGCAGAAAAACCCTCTCTTGGGAAAACAGTCATCTCCATGACAGAGCAAGAGGTCAAACTATTATCAATCATTTTCACTTTAGCTTGAATTTGTTTGTAATATTATTTCTATCTAAAAACACAGAAAGAGGAGGAGGAGAGCAATTTAATGTGCTGGGTACTTAGATAATGTAATGTATTTGGGTAGAGAGAAGTCTGTATCAGAATGAGTGACTAATAAGGAAGGCATGAGGATTGGGAAAATGTTTGAGGCTGGCATAAAAATTCTGCACTCACAATATCAGATGTTCAAGAAAGCTCATATTTCCTTATTTCCTTTAGTCAAAAACTAGTTGCCAATGAGTCACCTCCAACTCATGGCAACCCCATGTGTGTCAGAGTAGAACTGCTCCATAGGGTCTAGAATGACTGATTTTCCTAAAGTAGATTGCCAGGTCTTTCTTCCAGCGTGCCTCTGTGTTCACTTGAACTTCCAGCCTTTTTGTTAAAGTATGTTAACTCTTTGGACCCCCTACAGCATGGTAATGAAGTAAGTGACTCAATTTTGTAGCTCTATTTTTGTAATGTCCAGCTATGGATGGCAATATCTTGCTAAAACTCCATTTTATGTGGCTGAAGTAACCATCTCATCTTGCCCCCACTCCCAGTGAATTCAGGGATGCCCCTTTTGTCTTTTTTTCTTCTCTTCCCTCCTAGGTACATAAAGCAGCTAAATCACCCCTCAATGAACACCTGTGCTAGAGCACATACTCTGGGGTGGTTATCAAAACTAGCTCCCATCACCCCTCAATGGAAGCTGTGCTTGAGCATGTACTCTAAGGTGGTTATCAAAACTAGCTCCCCTCAGCCCTCAATAAATGCCTGTGCCAAAGCACGTGCTCTAAGTCCTTGAAACTGCAGCTTCTGCTTCTGTATCATCCCTTGCTTACATGCTTTATAAATCCTACCTAAAATCGGGCCCGTTACTGCAGCATAGGAGCGTGCTTCAGCTCCCTGCAGTCGGCTAGCCTAAATAAATCTCTTTTACCCAAAAGTGGACATTATAGTGGCTATCTTTTTAAATTGAACCCATAACAGTAAAAGCATTCACTCTCCCTGACACACAAAGGCATTTTCCCCAGTATTCCCACATCTCTGCCCCATGTCAGAAGCTCTTTTGCCTCAGCCATGGAAGCCAGTATGCTTGATAAGGGTGGAAGCTACTTTCCCTAGGGTACTGAGGGGCAGGGAATTACTTAATATGGCCCTTCTAGCCATAGTCTGTAACTCCCACAAAATGACTGGGTAAGACAACACAAATGAGGTGCTTGTGGTCCACCAAGGATAATGAATAGATTGCCAATAATGTAAATAAGGTGCATGGTAAAATTGTGGAGGTGGGACCATGAAAATAAAGTGTATAGATCTCTACCAAGAGGATTGGTCAGTTTTGCCATCCTACTAGGTTTATAATGAGCCGTCCCAGAGATAGAAAGGGGGATCTCACTACCACCAAGAAAGAAGAGCCAGGAGCAGAGGTCCTTTGGACCCGAGATCCTTGTGCTGAGAATCTCGTAGACAGAGACAGAGGGAGAGAGAGAATGCTGTAACACCAGAAACAAGAAAAGGAGACAGCAGCAGCTGAACCAGCAGGAGACAGTGCAGTTGGCTTCTCAGCCCACAGAGCTAGAGTTGCAAACTTTTAGGCCGAGGCTTACTGGTGGAGGAGGGTGCCTCTGGACACTTACCAATGGAACTAAAAGAGTTTTGCAAAACTTGCCC